ATCTTCTGCTGTTTGCACAAACAAATTACAAACAATTTGACCTTTGAGTCTAACAGAAACAATGGTTGACCTTCAATAGCTACAGTAACAGAGGTTTTTTTTATCCCGTTTTACTTACCTAGTAATTACGGTTTCCTGACCTTAATTGAAGTTGATCCTTTTCACCAACTTCCTAAATTCGGATAATTACTTTCGTATTTCAATTTGGAGGTTTATGCGGAGGAAAATATTTCGCGAAAATTGATCTGGCCGACGCATACTTACAAGTCAGTCTTTACAGAATATCGTGAACTCCTAACCACTAACACCCATCAAGGTTTTTTCCTGTACAATCGTCTACCATTCGGCATTAAAAGTGCCCCCACTATTTTTCAACAGGAATTCCAAGTGTTGCTGCACTTTTAAATGGCCGTTTTCGCACAATTTTTTTACGATACGGCCAGTAGTTCATTTTTGCCTCCATTTTCAAGTCAATTCACTGATTGGTTAGTGCTTACTTTTACTATGTTAATGCTTAAAATTCCGAACAAGGTCATATGTCATACAAACGTGTTTTAGGGTTAGCTGACTATCCTTCTCGGAGGAATAAATTCCCCCAAAGCAGTCCAGTCTTCATTCCTATTTCTTTCGGGTTGGAGTCGATGGATCTTGCTTACGAAGTTAGCCGCCAGTCAAGTGTATTATATCCTTTCGGAATCCAATGATTCATATTTCCTAGTTCTGCCAGTTCAAGATATAGCAGAACCTTCCCCCAATGTCGTCGTTGATCCTGACACAGTAGTTCAACGGTAACGTGCTGGTCGCATAACCTGAACGTCCTGGGTTTGATCCCTGACATGATCATCAGTGTGCACTTTTAAGGACGAAATAGTTATGTAGGGCTCCCAGGTTCCCAATGTTTCTCCAGTTGATGTCAGTCCATGGTGAATACCAACCTGAGATACTTCCTTAATACTTCGCATAGCTGAAATCGACTTTGACGAAAATTTCAGAACTATCAACACACAGAATTTGTGAATTTATCTTTTCTCATTTTTTTCTCTAACTTTTGTAGTGGTTAAAGAACTACTAAAATTTAAAACAAACCAACTTTTATGCATATGTTACAGTTAACTCTTGTACATTTGTTGATAGTCAAATGAAACACTATGCAAGAACATAATGAATTCATGGTATCTCAATGTACTTGTTGATTTTAATCTGTGAAAAGAATTAGATAAATCAAAAACTTTTGATGGCGTTCTCAGCTCAAAGAACACAACACCATCAAACTCATCCTCCTAAGCTGCAAATATTCTCCATCATCTCAGAATGAAACACCATATCTTACAAAGAAATATATTCAACAAACTTTATGAGCTAATTTTGAAGCTACATGGACACATGGACACTACATGGTTGCCTAGACCTCGATAGGTGCAGAGGAGCTCGAACTTGCGATTCACTGGTGTTGAAAGTCATTTCTGTGAACCAGTAAATTAAAGCTCCGAAGTGAAGACATTTAAAACTTAAAAGTCTATGGAAGTATCTTCATCTCCTAATTAGTTAATTATAGGCGAATAGAGAGGCGTAGATTGGCTCTATAGACTAAAGTCTTAGAGATATTAAAAATAAATGGCTTGAAAAGCTTAGTAACATAGCTCAGAATTGATCACGCATGTATTTGCTCTGAATCTTTAAAATTCTGAACATTTTATTGATCTTCACTTAAGTATTCCTTTTTGTCTTTTTTTGTACTGTCCTACTTCCTTTTACTTGATGCTGTCAAATGTGACGACTTGAACTTGGCAGAATTCTACATTTATCTATCCGTCCGTCATTGAGTATATATATATATATATATATATATATATATATATATATATATATATATATGCATGCTTATCTTCTATGCCTTCTCGATTGTATGAGTGAAAATCACAAGTTTATAACACATGACAATATATTTTTGAACCAGAAAAACATCACCTTCACACTATTGAAAGAGATTATCTTTTCAATGTTGAAGAAATTCAATGAGAATATTGACTATTTGACCGTTGATCAACTATGTCTGTACAATATTCAAACTTTATTTACTTTAAGTTGTACTGAAATTATATTTTCATAAAGGTCACAATAATTCAATCACAAAATTTAATTAGTTCAACTATAGAAAAATCATGATATACAACGAATACCCTTAAGAATTTAGTTGCAACATTTCAGTCGATAAAGATTAGTATAACATAATTTCAGTTTAAGTATGCATTACACGACCAGTTCACCCAAAATGTCAATCAGCAGCATATACACAATTACAAATCCTATGATCCAAACTAACAGCCTCGATCGGTAGTAATCATTATGTTATGGTTTAAGAAGAAATTTCATGTAGCAAATATCTGCTTTATGACGAAAGAATATGGTACGAGAGTCCTTTTGCCTTCTGTTCATCACAGTGAATTACCACTGACTATAATGCATATGCTTACAATATAAGAAGAGATAACCATTTCAACCATCTGAACACGCTGAGCAGATATCTCAGTATGTTTGGCATGCGTTTCCCTGCCACCTATCAAATGTAAGACGATGCGCTAGCACGGTTTGCAACTACTTCCAGCTTAAGTACAGGGAGTGAAGTGGTGGAATGTGTCAACCACTTCACTTACTCGCAGAGTTACATCAGTTCGAACGAGTTGGTTGATGACGAAATCTCGAGTTGGATATAGCAGGCCCGTTTGATATTTACGAACTTGCATTACCTGTGGTGCTGACTACCAAAGTATCAGACTGTCTATCAAGGGATAAGTATACTACGGTGCAGTCAGTAGAACTCCGCACACAAGTGTATTACTCCAAGTTGCAACACTTCACAGTAATATACAAAGAACACATGGATAAAAAAAGTGATATTAAAGTCGACAAAGTTGTGTGACAAAATAAACAATCTGAAGATAATGGTTAGTGTAAATAATCAACGTTTAAAGACATCAAAGAGTGAATACATCTAAACCGCTGTGACCGATTTCCAGCTTTGCCACCAAGGATCCTCAACTACTGATTTCTTTCGCCTCGGGGACTCGAGCCACGTAGTCTACATCTCCCACAAGGCTCAGACCAACAGTCAGAGACTTTGTCGACTGGTGCCACGACTTGGTCTGGTCACCCTGAACTCTCTCCAAATCTAATCCAACTTCTCCCAGCATGGCATGTCGAGGTAGGCAGTATGTCTATAACGAAGTTAAGCAGTAAGCATCCCTGGTGGACACGACTAGCTATCATCATTTCTGAATGAGCGGATGATTAGCTTAAAATCAGTAGGCGTAGTTCATTGGTCGCTGCACAAACGTACTGAGTGCATTTCGACTTCGACTTCGACAAAAACACATAAAAGAGAATAGTAAATATTGCCTTCAGGTTACTGTTATAACCTTGTCGTCAAAGCTCTTGCTGGGTAACCATACAAGGAAGACACCTCTGAAGCATTATGAGGAACTCTTAATAAGGTTGGCTGGGATCAAAGTGGCATTTAAACCAACGAACTCGCTTAGAAACAAGCTTTGTAGGCTAAAAGATCCTATTGGTCCAATTCGGCAAAGTAATTTGGTTTACCAAATCCCTTGCAATGATTGCGAGGTCAAGTACATACGTCAAAGCAATCGACCAGGGTCGATTAGAATAACAGAGCACAAAAGCTTAGCTAAGATTAGTAGATTAGTAGATCCTAATAAGAGATTTAGAGAAAAGTTCGACTATAGCTCTGTACGCAATTACATACAATCAAGTAGGAGGGTGGAACAGAGCGACAGTATTAAAAACGAACTTAGTTGGATGGAAGGAGGGAGATATTGATAACCGAATCTTTGTTTATCGATGCAATCGAAATGAATGTGCATCCGTCCCAGATATATGGAAAATTCTACTACCCTTGTCATCTCAAAGAAGGAGAGAAAATTAGGAATATATAAACTCTGTCTCGTAGCTGTGGAGTTACCTGCTACCAATATAGACAACAATCTATTTCCGAAACGTTATCCAGTAAATGATACTGTTTCACTGTGAGATATTTCTAATAAACATACTAAAATGGGATTAGAATCCACCACAGTGTCCAAGTTTTACTACTATATTAACCCCCGTCGTCACATTTTGTCCTTGAAGTGACTACTTCATATAACCTGTTATATATATATATATATATATATATATATATATATATATATATATATATATATATATATACTGGGTGTTGATTGAAAGCGAGATTAAGATTTGGACCGCGGGTGGATTCGAACCAGCGACCACCGGGTTTCCGGCCCGATGCTCTACTGGTTGAGCTACGAGGTCCGATTGCTGACCAGATTTTTCTTTCAATGATAACCAATATGACTTTCCCACTTTTTAATTCAGTTAGATTTCTATTGGGATGAGAAGTCCTGACTAGGCAACCAGTATGAATACGATCAAACAGTATAAGTGAATCATGAAATCACATGGTAGTCGGGGAAAAACCCTTAGTAACTTAAGTGAAATAAAAATGTGGTCAGCAGTCGGATGTCGTAGCTCAGTTGGGAGAGCATCGGGTCAGAAACCCGGTGGTCACTGGTTCAAATTTTCATTTCACCTTCAATCATCACTCAGTATAAATACTGGTCTGCCAAACTAAGCCTATCTTAGATAGTTAAATGATATATGTATAAATATGATCGGTTGTTAAAAGGTTCAGGAATTCACGGCTTTTTATGAAGGTTATAGCAATCTGATTCCACATTACAACAGTTATACATAAACAAGACTGAACCAATGTCAATTAGTCATAGAATGAAAAAATTCCACCAGTTAATGATGTAATTAAAAAACCTGACACCTGGCCTGTTCGGATACACATTATTTGGAAGTTGCATCACCAAGTCCATGTTAGTAATACTTGATAAAACAGACAATAACACAAGTTTACTTATAATTCAATACAGTATTGTCAAATCTGGTATAAAAGTTACTTTGTCATTACTCACCTTTCTCTACACTTAGGCATACAGAAGGTTCCTCAGACATTTTGCTTAATTCTTCTAATAAACTGGGCGCTATTGTCAACAAATCACATCCAGTTAAGCCAAGAATTTGATTAACATTTCTAAATGAAGCTCCCATTATCTATAGCAAACAAATACACAAACAAAAGATAATTAGACTAATCGTATACAGTCTATGCAAATCAGTAGAGTTTATAGGTAGTGTATAAGTTATCAATTCAATTGTATTTATGGAATTTTTGAGATCATCCGACCCTGTTTGATCTAGAACGGTTAGTGATGCAACAAGCTGATTGAATGGCCATCAGATTATTCTTCACCTCAATGAACTGAGGTATATGAGCCACTTCTGTGCTGAACAACCAGGTGTTAGAGTTTCAACATATCAACTGAGGTTAAAATCTGTGATTGTATAGTTGTGTGCCAAAAATTCATCATAAATGAATTTTTTACCTGTCACCTAACTACAGTATGAAAAGGCTCTTCATTTTAAGCCATCCATTCAAAAATGGTCACAAGCCATGATCTGTCAAACTTAGAAGCGTCAAACTAAACTAACGAAGTATTTTACTGATCAATATGAATAACCAAGAACAAACAAATGGATAGCTAACACCAAACATACTTAAAAACTAAGCCTTTTAATGATTTCCGCTTAAACACATACATTAATTAATTGACAGAACAAGCGAAATGTAGCTGTTAAGCTACATGACACAGTGACAAACCTTATTATTACATGCCAAGCGTAAGGAGTCATTCGACAGGAAGCCTGGTAATCAGCCTACTAGTTACACAATGAACGTTTGACCGACAGTTTTCAAATATAACTGAAAAATATACAGTTACATCAGTCACCCATTGTCCATCACTTTGTGTGCAAGTAGTAAATATTACGTAACAATGCTAGATCCAGGTGAATACGTGTGAAAACTCATACCATTTTGTCATTCTCATCAATTTACATTCGTTCAAATCAAATAATACCATATGATGAATATCTAGAAAGTTTAAACAATTGACCAATGCATAGATTTCAAACATTATGTTATGTAATGATGATGAAAGAGTCTCACACTGTGGCATAATCTTTTCAAGGACGACAGAACCTTTAGTGTAAATCAGTGCAACTAACTTATAATTAGACCATATATATAAGAGGGGAAAGAGTGCATACAAAAGAACTGAATCATAATACACGCCTAAATATGCACCCTAAGAAAAGAATTGAAGTAGAAAATAATCATGCAAAAACAGTGTGTATTTATTTGTTCTAGTTATTTCTGCATGAAGTTGTGAACTGTCTGTTATACATGAAGGTTACCTAAACTATACAGTACTATCCCGTCCGATAGCTACTACCTAGACTTGGTGGTCGGGTTTGCAAATCATAATAAGCCAACAAGCTATATTGATAGAACGCTTACTCACTTGAGCTTCCACTAAACTAAAAAGGTCTGTTGGGTAATGATGGATAGTGGCTAGCAGTGGAATCCAGGATGCGCATTTCGTCCTATTTGGGACTCGTCAGCTGCATAATAATTAGACAAAAAGCAGTTATCACTATAGTGTAGATTGCTACGCTGTCTTCCCAATGGGAAGAGGGTGTTAGAAAAGGTTGGCCTCAAAAATAGCACACTCCCAACCCCTCGCGGTATGCCGATGCCAGTAAGAGGGATTTATAATCCGATTCAAAAGTAAAAGACCAAAATCTCAAACTTGCAAAAAGGCTGCATGACCGACCTCCAGCAGATGTCCTATGGGCTTCAAGAAGAACTAGCCTTCCATGGTGTGTGTAGCCGGGAAGTGTCAACCGCGCTCACAACTCTGTCAGCACTCAGGTTCCCTCAGATCACTACCCACCTTCCGCATCTTCACCTTTTAATCTTCCTCCTTCAGTCATTAGTCCTACATCATCTGAAGCTCTTGACAACGACCTGAGTTCGCACAACAATATTCTTGGTCTCCTGAAAATGCGCTCCAAATAACACATTGGAGCTCCCACTCTCCGCATCTATCACCGAATTGGCTAAAATACTCCACCAGCCAAAACTCCAACAACTTGCCCACGACGTGCTGTGTTTATATTATATATATATATATATATATATATATATATATATATATATATATATATATATATATATATATATATAAAGGAACCAAGTACGGTTATTTACTTAACCTTACTTAGTCGTATCGGTTAATCCACAAAATTCACTTTTTGAGTTTCTGGAGATTCGATGACCTAGCAGGTGCAGGCATAGCAATGAGCAGAAATTTCTCCGCTCGACTGGATCCCAGTTGACTGTCGCTTATGCGCTGTTCAACTGAACGGTACAGTGAGGACAAAAAATAATAGTGAAACTTGACGTTATCTCTTTTCAATCTCTGCTCACCTACTCATTCATTGCAGTTGGGATGAAATTAAAGATGAGTTCTACCAAAACTGTCTAAGTCAAGCACCCAGATACTGTAGTTGTTGCAGTTGATTTTAATGCACATTTAGTTAGGCCAAGAGTCAGGCAGAAAGGCACTTAAGTGGCACTTTCTGAATCCTGGCCAAAAAACAGATAAAGGGTGATCGTTTACTACAACTGTGCTCACATAATCACATACTTCTAGCCAGCACAAAATTCAGGCATAAAAAGAGATATTGTTTGACGTGGTGTCCATCGACCTCAACTCAGAAGTGGACACAGATAGATCACATCGCTATCAGTCACGGTTAGACAGGGTTAGTAGAAGACTGTCATCCTTTCTGGGTGTTTGAACAATGATCACACGTTAGTTTGAGCACGTGCATGTCTGCATCTCAATGGACGTCACAGATACAACTTTAACTAGTGTGGAATAGAAGAGGAGTGAGCCTGAAGGAGTCTTACGGTGATTTCATCAACTGACAAATTTATGGGATGATTCATTGACTGCTAATATACACCATATGAAGCAGGGGTATTTTTTTTAATAAGGTGATAAGATATCATATTTAACTAATTCGGGATGCTAAGTGTTATACTGATTTCTTCCTAAAATATTTCTTGCTACAAATATTTCTTTCTACTGGACTTCTCATTTAGGCAATTTCTTCTCATAGTTTGATTTAAAGAGCGACAAACTACGTTGATATACCATCTCCTAAGGTTATACAGTGTACTGATGAGTCAGTGTTGTTCCTTAACTCAGTAAACCCTGTAAGCTTTGACTTCATGGACGACAGCCTACTTCTTATGCTCCAGTTTACGAAGCCTGAATGGGTGCAATTCACTTACAGATGCTTTGCTCCCAATCATATTCTGTATGTGGAGTGTACTAGTTAACTTTTATAGGATTATATAGTTTTAAAAGATGAGTGTTGATTAATAAGAATGTAATAATTGTGCATGACATTCGTTTGTCAATTATTTGAACTGGATAGTATGCCTCAATAATTAATATGTTCTGTACCAATAATTAAGACTGATATTTATATGATCGACACTTTTTAGCGACCCTTCAATTGATAATAACACAATAACTTACAATCCGTGCATTGGTGTATAACTTACATGACTAAAACTTACAATAAACACTCAACTAAGCTCCTCAGAACAATTAACTTATTCACTTCTAGTCAAATGACGGTCGATTCAGAAATGGTATGCATGTTACGGATGTAGCGGATGAAAGCCAAACCTATAAATATGGCTGCAAAAATATAATATGCAGGTATCTTAGTAAAGCTTTCTTAGCACACCAAACTCGATTCACTAACATCTATTTGTTCAAATTCCATATTTTTCTTCCGCTGAAAAACTACACCCAGTAGGGGATTAAATATTCTAAGCATAAAAATTATCTGTTTGGCAAACGAATACTCAGATGATTTACTTAGATGTAGCTAGCAAAGGAATCCGGGACGTGTGTTTCGTCGCATTTGCACTGGTCAGCTGGATGCGCCTGCACCCCAGTGAGTTATGTTGTTCCCACCGAGACTCAAACCATGTACCCATCGTTCCAAGAGCCGAAGCGTTATACACTAGGCCACTGAGGCACGACAGCCACCTCTTGTACAATGGGTATTAGTGATTACTATTTGTTGACATGCATGTAATTCTCCTCTGTTTTACTGGATCGAATCGTTAGAGCTCTATTGGTATATGGGCTCCTATCCCTGGATTCCTCTGCTGGCCACAACCAAGTAAGTTATCATAATTACCATTCATGCAATATCGAGGCATCCGAATAGGAACCCATGTGCCAACGGAGGTCGAACGATTCGATCCAGTAAAACAGCGGAGAATTACGAGTATATCGATGAATAGGAATACTAAGATCATTCGTAGGATAAGATTGATTTTAGGCATTTAAAAACATTTTCCCAACTCACGCAACACTTATGAAAAAGTAAATAGATATTTGACATGAAGACTAATTCATATCTACTGTGCTTTAGAAAAGATATCAAACAACAAGTTATAGAACTACTGGTATCACTGACCGATATATTGCTTTGCTGTTAGGCGGTCGGATGTGATCGGTAAGAAATCTCATGTCTATTCTTTGTACCCGTTGACATCCAACAGAAAGATATATCTGCAAGCTTGAAGGAACTGATACAGATGTACCCTGCTGATGAGCGCCAAGCCTCGATTCTACATACACCTGACACATTAATCAAAGAGCACGAAGATGGCGCTCTTTTGAGCTTTGTGATCACACCACAAACTGAAATGATAGTATTCTATCAAAATTGAAGACTAGGTAAGACGAAAATGGCTACTTTTCACCGGAAATGAAATCAAACAGATAAATACAACTAATGATCTCACCAAAGAAAGAACAAAATACGGAAAACGTTTCAATGATGAGTAATTTTTATCCTTCGCAAGTAACAGTTTAAAAAAATAGTTTAGAGTACTGATAGTTGACGCATGTTAAAACTGGAATGTCACAGAAAACAGCTGTAACATATAAGGACTTTGATGGTAGACCTTATTCACTAACCAGAGGAGATAGATAATTAGTCCTGTCATGAATTCCTGTTTCGAACGTAAAATTCGAACCAACAGTAAATCGATCTGAAATGTTTCTTTTTCATGAGACATACAAAGATTCAATGAGAAAACTGTAGTTAACAATATTTGGATAAAGCAACTCACCTGTGTTTTATAACCATGAGCTTTATAATAGTTGTAAATGCGTGTAACCAACTTGACACCGGGATCATCTTGCCGCGTAAATTCTTTCTTACCGTGCTTGGTTGTATACCAATCTAGAACGCGTCCAACAAATGGTGAAATCAAGGTAATCTTAGCTTCAGCACACGCCACAGCCTATAAATCATCAGGAGAGGAATGCAAAATTCAATGATAGATGGACAAAATTAACGTAGAACTTTGCACACAAATGCATCGACTAAACTCGCCACGCTTCACAGTAATATACAAAGAACACATGGATAAAAAAAGTGATATTAAAGTCGACAAAGTTGTGTGACAAAATAAACAATCTGAAGATAATGGTTAGTGTAAATAATCAACGTTTAAAAGACATCAAAGAGTGAATACATCTAAACCGCTGTGACCGATTTCCAGCTTTGCCACCAAGGATCCTCAACTACTGATTCCTTTCATCTCGAGGAACCCAGCCAGGAAGTTTACATATCTCCACAAGCCTCAGACCAATAGTCAGGGACTTCGTGCATTGGTGTCACGTTTTGGTTTGGCCACCCTGAACCCTCTTCAAATGTAATCCAACTTCTTCTAGCATGACATGTCAAAGTAGGCGGTCGCTGGGAAAGAATAGTATATCTCCAAACCATTTCAGTCGACTAAGGTTCACAACGTTTCAACTACAGGCGGGACGGACGAGGACGTCAAAGTCAGAATCGGAAAAGCAAGACAGGCGTTCATTAGCCTGAAACCAGTGTGGAGATCTTCTGCACTCAGCATGCGGAACAAGATACGGATTTTCAACACCAACGTCAAGTCAGTGCTCTTGTATGGTTCAGAGACTTGGCGCGTCACAAAAGGTATTTCCAATAAACTACAGACATTCATCAACAACTGCTTACGCTCGCTGCTGAAGATCAGATGGCCAGAAAAAATAAGCAACAAGGAACTCTGGGAACGAACCAACCAAGAACCTATCACGCAACAAATATGCAGGAAGAAGTGGAGATGGATTGGGCATGCACTGAGAAGGCCGACGGAGGACATCACGCGTCAGGCCCTCGAGTGGAATCCCCATGGGAAGCGACGAGTTGGACGTCCGAGGGTGACATGGAGGAGGTCGTGCGAGGAGGAAATGAGAGGTTGTGGGCTGTCGTGGGACCAGGTTCAAAAGATCTCAGAGAACAGAGGTCACTGGAGACGTGCTACTGAAGCCCTATGTTCCACTAGGAACCCAAGGGACTAATAATAATAATAATAAGGTTCACAACCTCATTGACTGACTTGCCAATCTTGCCTAGTATCCTTCGCCTGACACCAACATTGTTCATACAGTGATTCCACCGAATGCGAGCAATGCTACGAAGACACCTGTGCTAAAAACGCTATAACCCCTTCATATCTTTTACGTTCACTTCTAAATTCAATAACTCAGCAGCCTGAAATAAAATAGTATCGAGAACATCTTTTAGGAAGTAAGTATTTCCCGGTATTTTATTACCACCACACATTTGCAATAACTGCCCAGCTGATTTCAATGATCGCATTTATTAATGCATATTATTAATGACCATGACCGTTATCGATTAAGAAAGGACCACTTGCTATGGGAAAGTAACCCCAAAAAGGAGAGCAAGAAACCAATAATAAGAATCCTGAACCAACCAATCTACCATACAAATAAAAATTCACAAGAAAAACACAACTAACAGATCTATCTGTTTTAATGCAGATTGCTAGTATACGTATGGACTCTTAAACAATAACTTGATCCTCGGTAGGTTCTTCGAAAACGAGACCAGTAGAATGATAGGTTTGTCTGTCAAACCAATAATAGGCAGAATACAACTATATATATATATATGCCCTGGTTAATTTTTGATTTTTTTGAAAACGTGTTTCGTATTGATTGTACATTCTAAACCAATCTGATAATAACACGTAGGGTAATGCGATTTTCTGGAAACTTAAAAATAAAATCAATTGGTTCTAAACATTGGTGGGAATGTAGGGTCCCTTGAAGGTTGCAGATTGTAATACTCCAAATAATAACACCCAATGAGCTCACTTTTAGCATTCTATAGGTAACGAGTAACAAGCATCAATTTTTATTGTGAGGAAAACTGAAATCCTTTCAACGATTAACAAATTTACTGGACGTTCCGCTGCAGTTTGAACAGTTTTGAATTTCAATACCGTTCTACTGAATTCTTACAAAATTGAGTTCGTCCATGTTTTATGCATCACTAGCTGTATACTTGTTGTTCATTGGTTTGTATGCAGTCGATTTTCAAATAATGGATCCTGGGTTCAACTACTCTAAGCAGTCAGGTGATACAATAAATCCTCAAAAATGACGCATAGCTCGTAGTCAGTATATTCATAAACCTGAGCTGGTCTACTGAGTTCCATCAAGTTATTCATTACGAAATAACCAGTTGACTACAAAGTCGGAGTTCTGAGTATGGAATGCCAGTTAGACTACAGTCACATTCTACCTTTTCCACACTAATTCGCATGTTTATCCTAATTTCATCACTCTCAATCACTTAAACTTCATCATGGCTACTAACTACTCTGCACTCAGTCTTCATTGTCTTCATAATTCAGAAATCGTTATGGCAACAAAATATGAATACTCTTTAGGCTCAGAAGTGTATAATATGCCAATGGGAAATATATTTAGCCAGTGAAGTTAGCTTATGGCATCAACTTTAGTGGCAGAGAAAACCATTGAAAGAATGCTAGAAAACGCTCTTGCATTCATCACTGTTGATTAACTGATGCTTTAACTACTTTGAGTAAGGCGATAAGTTAACAGGCTATGACAATGTAGTAAAATGATGTGTTAAGTTAGCATCCACTAGTTAACCACCTTGTCTATTGTAACTGTGACTTAATCTGGTGTATATGTTTACGTACGAGGCTACGAGTCACTAGTGTTGTGTTAGGTATTATGAAATAACAGGAGTAAGATTTGAACTCTGGACCCATTGCTTTGAAGTCAAATGCTTAATTATATAGGATGTATTTTTACTTGTGTAATTCCGGCGTAGTATATTAGAACAAATAACAAAATAAACAAATATTTTGTTATTTGTCCTAATATACTACGCCGGGATTACACAAGTAAAAATACATCCTATATAATGAATCATACTAACTCGGTGCCCAAGTTTTTTCAAACCATCCAGTCCATTGTTGGTCAGGATAACTTCAAATGCTTAAGCTGATGGAATAATATCTACAGTTCGTCTAGAATATTGTAAATAATATCAAATGATTGGAAGCAAACAGTATGAAACCCTGGATCTAGGTTTCGTGCTTGTTGGCACTTTGTGAGTGATGTATGTCTTCAACCACAAGAAAGCTGGTGCTACCTCAGATGTCTAAACCTGCGTCATCTAGTTGTTGCTACTTCAGTGACAACAGTGTAAAATGACCCATGGAATCCGATCGGCACTTAAGACTAGACATGAGATAGGTTACTCAATACATATGATACATATTAGTTTGAAGTGTTAGATATAGCCGAGAACCAAAACCATTTCTCAGTCATACACATTTATCGGCTAGTTACTTCGTTTTTTATTATATTACTGCATTTATGGTGCGAATCTTGTACTAATATGAGGCAAATGAACTGACTTCACATTACGGTACCACTTTTTATAGTTGGTCTGTTGCACAAAATCTCTACTCTTCAACCAACAGCTTAAACTAACTTGAAACAAACCAAAGATCAGAACACTCAGCAAGTACAAACTTTCATTCTGAAAGCCTAAATAATGCAAGTTATCTTCATACTAGAGCATAAATCTCTGGTGGTTAGCTGAATTGTCCCATACTTATTCGTTGTCTGCATATTGATGATAAATCTTGACAAAAAAATAACAAAAGGTAAAGCAGTCTTACCTGATAAAACGAGAACATCAATGTTAGGTTACAATGTATTCCATATTGAGATTCGAGTATTTCTGCCGCCTTGATGCCTTCCCATGTAGAACTGAGCTTAATTAAGATGCGTTCCTTTGATACACCTAATTCTTCATACATTGCAATAAGACGACGAGCTGTTTCAACTTGTTTTTGTATACTAAACGAATAGCTGTGCAAAAAAGAAAAAGGGGCATGTAAGTGTTAACATGTATGTGGAAGATGTGATAGGTAGAGAGACAAGATGTAATAAAAAGCTAATTTACCGAGCATCTACTTCGGTAGACACACGTCCAGGAACAACTTTCAAGATTTCGCATCCAAATAAAACAAATACCCTCTCTAATGCCGTTTCAACTTGTTCATTTAACGTTCTAAGAATAATTTAATTATAGGCCACTGACAATACTGATTAGTAGGTTACTTTTGTTTCTTCGCATATTCAATCGCAGAATCCAATAGATGAGAATATTGTGGTAATTTGCATGCAGACAAGATTAACGAAGGATTTGTTGTAGAATCGACCGGAAGATACTGTTTCATAGCTATGCACAACAGAAAATGTGATGTTAAACAGGAATTTCTCGGTTGATACAAAGCACTTACATTCGAAATCTCCAGTATCACCAACCACGACAGTGTGTTTCTTTAAGTACTCCAGTGTAGAGGGCATGGTTTAATAGAGACCTGAAAAGTCAAGGTAAATGAAAGAAGAAGGAATGAAATACAAACAAGCTAAAGATAGAAAAACGAGTTCACTAGCATTCTGAGTAACCCACTAAAACAACAGAGGAATACAGTATTCATGATATTTGGTAATCAAATGAAGATATCCCAAGAACCAAAGATAGTGGACTAATTCAGTTTATTATTCGTTCCTGATTCCCCATCATCTATAAGCCTAAATGCATAGATCTCATACTGGTCTGTAAACCAATATTTCCTATAATACAGCTCAAATGAGCTTGATAAACATTTCAGCCATAAGGTAGTCCGATACCCAGATGCCGTCAGAGACAGGAAGAAAAATCGACCTAACCTCATAGTGGCACTTCTCTACGTTGCCCTACAGTAGCATGCAAAAAAGAAGTGGATAGTAAAAGGGTGATACTCAAATAAATAGAAGTTTATGTGAGGAGAAAGTTACTGATGTGATCGATGCACTCTCATCTAGGTCTGAAAACTGTTTTGTTTTCTGGAGTTTGCTGCTCCAGCTACAGTTAGGTGTCGTATATCTATGGTCCTTATAATTTTAGACATGACGTTAGTTGAAACACGAAAAATAAAAACCTCTTTCCAACACTTGGGTGCTTAACTTATTCAATCCGCTCTTTTTCCGTATTTTATGACCAACCTTAAGAGTATTATTCCTCCTAAAAATATTTTTTACGTGATATTCAAATCTTTTTTAAACTTTTCCGGTGAGAAAATACTTTTAGCTTACTATAAAGTGTTTTAAATAATCCACATGGTGCTTGGAATAAAGGTTTTCATATTTTTCACTGTCTTCTGACTGAAATCATTCACAACATCAGGATAATCTTCAGTTGAAGTGTTTTATATTATGCCACCTTATAGCCAGTGTGATTCTAGGTTGTTTTCAGATCATGAAAAGCCAAAAGTTAAAATACTGTTTCATGTTTTTAATCTGACTAAATTCTAGTTTCACAGTATCATCTTACCGCTGAGATGAAAACCATACACTAAGCATTTCCAGATCTTCATTTAGGTCTCTTAATAAACCTCCATCGTTTCACGACGTTCATTCAAAATATCTGTCATCAGATTACCCAAGACTCATCAAAAGACCATCAGGCAGATCAATCCCTCGGATGTTACCAGTATACACAGTAACCCTCATGTAAATTTATCATGACGTTGAAGTCGTGACGAAACACCCCTGACGTGAACTGTTGGTTTTTATCAAGTAAGATACTGTTTGCCAAAGGCTCTAACACAACTATATCAATTAAAGCTAAGGCATATGACTACATAACATAAGTTTGGCATTCGTTCTAGTCAAATACTAATACAAAGTTAAATGCACCCTGCAGGTCAAGAAATAAGACGCCATGGAGCACTGGTAAGCATAAATGTTTCAGGAGACGAAGGTCATATTACCAAGCTCTCATAAATACTAAAGACTTGGTCCTTTCAAGTTGGTAGTCACAAGCTATAATAAGTCAAGTATATGTAGGTGGAAAGTTACTTTGCTCGAATTTATCTTCGCTGCTATCGTATGGGAATTATTTTACCTTATACACTCAGATGGCCAATGTGTGAGACAAGTTAGAAGATACTACCTGACTCAGTCCAAATAACAAATTCCGACCAGCATCTAAGTGATGCTGATATCTAGTTTTATTGCAGTTAGTCATGTTTCTCTTTACTGTCATACAATGGTCAGTTTTCGTCAATAGAGTTAAATGGCTGATATGGATATTTTATTCCAGATGACCGAATGATGTTAAAATGAAGAGTATTTGCAGACTAATCACACCTTCATAATGTCTCACCAAACGTTAGATTTTATTAAATGTTTTCCTTTCTACGTAGTGGTTCCCAGCCAGCATTAACTTTTGGAGCACTTTGTAATTTTTGGGCAGAAACTCGAAAACTTTGCCTCCGGCTCAGATGGGGTGATGCACGAAATTCCCCGGAAATGCCAAGCCTTTCCCCCAAAAAGTCAAAATTTCTAAAGTGCTCACAACGTTTTTGTTCCAAAGACTGGCAAATACTCCAAAACAACTAAAAGTTCCAAGAATGTTGAAAGTTTCAGAGTGTGCCTAGCGTTTCCCCTAAAACTATTAAAAGTCCCAAAGTACGCCTGAAGTTTTCACCCGCGATAAGATTTTGCAGAAACGTTTACATACACGGGTATGAACACTTATCATGAGTATAAACCTTCAATTTCAACACTAAGTACCAAGTGCGTTACAAGTGGCATGCAGCACGTGACTTTTAATACCATTCCCTGCTGTACTCGGTTTTTTAACATAAATAATTATCAAATGATAAACAATTAGACAGTTAACTGCCTAAGAAAACGAGTCAGAAACGAACCATATGAGCGAAAACAGGGGAACTGAGGAATATTATAACAAAATGCTATCACTTTTTATATATGTAGCTATCCTCAACATTACGCTTATCATATAGTAAATCAAAGATAGAATTTATTAGTTTACTTCTAACCCAGTTAGTAGCCTAATAAGACAAAAGATATCCACCTTGAGAACATCAACTAACAATAACTAGTATATGATCCAAAGTCGATTACAACAGAATGGTAACATACTACCACGCTTACAGTTCTCAGAATTTTAAATTAGCACTTTGGCCGATGGTTGTAATCTGTCCTTCTTTTCGGTGTGGTAAAACAAACGGCAACTTATAATGCTTCCTGAAACACGTGACGAATCCAGTAATCCTATAAGTCAGTCAGTTGCTATAAGCCTGCCTTTCTGTTGTGATTAAAGATAGTGAGCACTGAAAAAGCCTGGTTAACGAGTTTAGCTATCAGTTTGTTAAGCTCCTGACCAAGCTTGTAGGCTTAGTTTTCAACATTCACTATTAGTCCTTCTATTAGCTACCGCTATATAAATCCAGCACTTTGTCGAATTTTTCAACCGGAGTTGCTACCACCTATTTCGGTAGTGAGTTCCAGTTGTCGACCACAGGAAAATCACTACTCTTTGTTCATGAATAATTCGACCGCTGTATTGGGATATTTTTGATAATCTCTCTGGTGACCAGTCCTATGAATAATAAGTCAGCCAGATAAGCCAGTAAGTCGTTACTCACTATGTATAATATCGCCTCTTTTTCATTGATAAGGTGAGAGGAGTGATTTGACCCTACTAATCACTCCCCATGCGGAGATAGACAAGGATTGTTATCATATTATGGGTGACGCCTTGAGCCAATCCTGAAGCATCGGATTTCTGTCTATTTACAGTACTCTGAGTGGGCCTTATAGAAGGTCTGCAGCGAATCCTAAACATATCCTTAACAAGGCGTTTGAGTGTTCTACAGAGCGATCACAGCACGCAAAAGCTTTACCTGCACAGTCATCACTATGCCAAGTCGTCCTTAAGTCGTGACCCCTAAATACTTCCAAACCTTTTTAATCTTAGCGTGGGTTGTTAGTAAGCCATTTGCTGAGAGTTTGCCATATTGGTCACTTTCAATGTTCATCACCGCACTTTAACTGGAAATGACCCCCAGGCTTCGTGTTTTAGACCATTTAACTTGTTCATCGATGGCAAGTTGAAGTGCATGGTCCTAACCATCATCACTGACCGTCATCCGCACCTTGACGTCAGGGGTAAATACCAATGGCGATAACACGAGCATATTTGGTTTCAGCGCTGTAAAAAAAGAAGAATAGCGATAATAACATAAGCCCACCTACTTGAACTTTGGACTACTAATGAAGTTTTCACCGGATGCGTCACATCATATTCCTTCCTTTTCAGTTCGTTTTAATATGTCAGTTATTGCCTCGAAGAGTATCACGTACTCTCGCGGTTTTTAAAGTGTTCTGAGCCAGTCTTTTTTAGAGGTATCAACAAAGTGATGGGGAAATGTCACATAACACGAAATTGGCTTCTGAATGCAGGGAAATACATCATATCTCTTTTCTTCTTATACCCATCTCGAATGGTGCATTTCTTTCCCAGCCAAACACTAATGCTGAAATAATGCGTGCGAATCCAGAGACAATGCGGGTCAACTCAGTGATAACAAATGATGAAATGCGACAATTAGGCGGATTTTTACGGACAACCCGCATAATTTACGAACTTGCAGAATAATTTAAGGGTACATGCGTAAACACGGCGCTGTTTATGCATAATTCCCGTCTTATTTCCGCACCATCCGCATTACCTACATAAAATTCCAGCATTATTTCAGCTTTGGTAGCATTAAATCGGCATAGTCCACGGATTAGTTCAGTGTTACTGATGCATCAGTTGCCTTGTCTACCCACACTACATGACTCATTTAATTATTTATTGAAAAGGTATAAACTACACGCTGTGATGGGATATATATATATATATATATTTGTGGAGGATATTTATAAAAGAATTGTCTTACTACCGTGGGTTTTCATTTTTTTGTCTCCTTTATCATGGACATTCTGCGGGAAAACGGTTCACGGTGTACATGCCAACATTGATTTAGTCATCACATGAAACTGATATTTTAGAAATTAACCTATCGTTTTGGGCTGGTTGTCCATATTGCTTGAAGTTGACCTCTGTAAGTAAAAGATTAAATAACTCAGCAGGCGTTTTTGATGGTGCGATATAAATAAATCTGTATAACATACACTATGGAAATTGCGAATTCTTTCGGCTCAAACCCCTAACTACCTTGTCCCGGAACTTGTGGAAGTAGGACTTTGTAGTCGCATTCATGACACCTATTTCCGGTTGAGAAATTAGTGGTCCGAAAGACTTGGAATTTATGACAGCTATAGGGAGCAGAGTGATAAACGTGAATCCTCTATCTCATTACTTTGCAAAAGTTGTAGTTCACTATACTAGCCTTTCGTGAAGTCCCCCATCATGATAAACCGTATACCGAGATGTGGTTCCAATACACTGTTCATCCCTACCTCTCACAATGACTTCGGCTCATCTTGCACCCTTGCTACCATCTTCG